CCCCAAAACCCCAAAACCCCAAAACCCCTTTTGTTCAACCATTATTGGATTAAAATTAGAATTAAGCTCCTCTAATCGTCAGCTTGCAGCTGGTTCTTAATGATCTTTTCAAGGATTGAGGCCTTCAGTTTTAGGTAGAGATAGCTGTTACCTTCCTTATCTTCTCTTTCGAAGAGGATCTTGTGGTCACGGATTTCACGAAGGATGTCCTTGAGAGTTTTGATATCAGTGATTGACTGCATGTCCACACATTCTTCGTACAACTCACGCTCTTTCATTCCTAGTTCATGGGGATTGTCGAGCTGGAATTTCGCAAGAATCTTTATGGCATCTACTTGCATGTCAGTGAAAGATTTCAGGATGAAAGCAAGCCCAAGCTCCTCCCTCTCGTTCTTGAGAGAGAACAAAGGAGTAGACATTGATTTCTCCAAACCATATTCTTCATAGGTATCTATTTGGTAGAACACGAAGTTGTATCTATCCAGCACTGAATCATCCCAAAAAGCAGCTGGTTTAAGAGTATCTGTTGTCACGATAATCCCTATCTTATCACATCTAGCTAGGACTGAGAGATGACGTTGTAGCTCTAATGATTTCAGATTCCCGCTATCAATTGAGATAAGAATAATATAAATCTTCGAAATGTTTAAGCTCTCTATAGAGAGAGTTTTTAAGAGGTATTCAACGTTATCTCCCATGCTAAAGAATTTGTTCATCTGCTTCATCACAGTATTATTCTTCTTAGACATATATCTATTGTTAATATACGTAGTCAACTCTTTTAGGACTCCTTTGAGGGTAAGTCCTGGATGATATCAATTTCCCACAACAATAGCATGGTCTTTTAATCCCATTGTAAAATGCTTCAAAAAATTGATTTTGCTTCCAACACCATATATAGCCAAGTTCAGACCAGACTCAAGCATGTAGTACATTTCATCCTTAAACTCGCATCAAATAGACTTCGCCATGCCATCTCCTGTTGAGAAGGAGTCATGTAGTTGCTCTTCATAACTCGTGGTCTTCGATTCCTCTGCAATATTAGGATTTTCTGCATAATTAACCGCAAATTCAGTGAGGTCTTTCTCCTTTTCCTTTTGTTTTTGTCTCTCCCTTTCTTCTTTCCTTCTTCTATCGCCTTTTCTCTCCTCTCTCTCCTTGCGGAGGCGATTGACCCTGTTAGGCTCTTCCAACTTCTGGTTCTTCTTAAAGAACTCAGAGAAATTCTTCTTCCCAACATCTTCAGAGTCAGATTTGAGCTGAACTCTCTGTGTGCGGCAGGTAAAATAGTTCATGAAAGCCATTTTATCCTTCTTAGCTATGTTTTGGGCTTGCTTGCTGAACCTGTCATCGTGGTGTCCTTTCTGTTCCTCTATAGATGGATTACTACCGGGAGTTTTACCTTTTATATCTATTTCTCCATCATCAGAATTATCTTCGTCGTTGACTGATTGTGAGGAGAGCGACTGAGAGTCTACCATATCATTTAGCTCATTCAAATCTTGCATCATGCCATCAGGATGGCCAAATAAATACTTTGAATCGGCAGGTTTGGAATCTACGTCCATATCGCTATTTCTGGAATCTGATCTATCAAGGCTCATTCTTACCGCTAAATTATTGTTTATTCATTTTAGGCCAGTTTTTGAGGGGTTTTGGGGTTTTGGGGTTTTGGGG